GAGTTCATATCCTAATAATCAATTTTTTCTGGTATAGTTTATGTGAATATAATTTTAATCTAGATGTGTAGTGGCCAATATTACATGACCTCGGAAACTTCCAGTGGAGTTCATAGAATATAAAGATTAATTTTCACAAATTTTATATAATAATATAAAAAAAATAAAATTGTTGGTTTTAATAAACCTGGTAAGTAGGCTAGCTTAAGGTGAAAATCACACTACTTAACAATATTTAGCACTTTCTCAAAAACAAAAGTGTTACAAATTTTCAAAGCAATTGTAGGCATTCATATGACATATATAAACCTCTGTATAATGAGTTACAATGATAAAGCTAACAGTTCATAAGGGCACTTAGGTGAAAGAATTGTTAGACACATCATCGTACTGGCTATAAAGCAAAATCAGCACCTGTGTGTGTGTTAAACATCAATACAACTTCACAGTTAACATTTGTTAAAGCACATCACAGTACTCTATTGTGCTAATTAAACTGGCTAATGATAATAATGTCAGAAAAAAATTATGACCTTTACACTCCTGATAATTATAAGAGTACTTTTATTTCAATCAACATTTTGCCTTTGCAGCTTCATTAGGGCTATTACATAAAACTGTTTTATAGTACAATATTCATTAAATTATAAAACTGATAGTGATGTTCTATTTTTGTGTCTGCTGTAACGTGCCTCTAACAATGTATAGAATATGATTACTGTATCACTATTGTTCTAATATTATAGTACAGTTATAATACAACTAACGTATGACATACAGTACTGTGCAAAAGTGTTAGGACAAGAGAATGTTTTGTCATTCTTTCCATTTTATGGAGCTAATTCTTCCATGCCATTCCAGAATGTGAATTTCAACACTGTGGTAATGCTTAACATTCTTTAGAATTCCCATATACTTGTACCAAGGGCATGTCATAAGGGTTCTGCTTGAATGAACATACTGATCAAATTTAGGGTCTGAAATAACTGTCATGGTACCCCATGCAGTGTCTTAACTATATAGAAAAAAATTAGGAACTAGCATATGGTACCAGTATATGCTAGAAGAAATCAATTTAATAGCACTCCACAAATAAACCTTGATAAAAACAGTGTTTAACACAATATATTAAGTTTTGTTGTCATGCACAGAGAATTGTCAGTAGAGCAAAGAGTTCGCATAAAAGCTTTACATGTTGCTGGTTGGACTATCCAACA